TATGTTGATCCTTCCTACCCAGGAGCAGGGGATGTCTTTCCATTTTCTGATGTCATCTTCAATCTCTCTTTTCAGAGTGCTGTAGTTTTCAGAGAAGAGGTCTTTGATTTCATTTGTTAGGTTGATTCCTGGGTATTTCAGTTTTTTGGATGCTATTTTGAAAGGAATTGTTTGCCCTGTTTCTCTCTCAGTAAGTCTGTTGTTCATGTAGAGGAAAGCTATTGATTTTTGTGTGTTGACTTCGTATCCAGCTACTTTACTGAATTTGGTTATTAAGTCTAGAAGACTTTTGGTAGCAGTCTTGGGGTCTTTGATATAGAGTATCATGTCATCTGCAGATAATAACAATTTGACTTCTTCATTACCTATCTTTATTCCTTTTATTTCTTTCTCTTGTCTAATTGCCGTGGCTTGTTTAAATATTTTAGTACAGGGCTTGGGATGTAGCTCAGTGGCACTGTGCCTGCCTGGCAAGTGCAAGGTCCTGAGTTTGATATCTAGTACCGGGATTAAATAAATATATTTTAGTGCAGGGGTATTGTACACTATGAAATGAATGGTATGTGCAGTGTTTATGGTTCCATGGGAAGAAAGAGATGTCCTTTATTCTAAGATAGACTCTTCTACCAGTAAAAGGAGAGGAATGTATGATCCTGCTCTAATGGTATCTTAAGCAAATATTCAACTTTTTAATTTTATTTCTACCACAAATTTTAGCACAATGGATCGGGACAAAGTGGGAATCCCCACAGATGGTGATTCACATGCAATTACCTATCCACCTGCAATTGTTGTTTATATAATTGATCCTTTTACATATGAAGATAAAGATGAGAGCACTAACTCTTCTAACGTGTGGACTTTGGGACTACTTCGATGCTTTTTGGAAATGGTCCAGACTCTTCCTCCTCATATCAAGAGTACTGTTTCTGTGCAGGTAAAAGTGAGAAATGTTTTTCTGTATTGACATTGATTTTCTAAATGCCAATTTCTATTGATTTTACTTTCAAGTGGTATTATAATAGACATCTTAAAGGATTTATAAAAGATAAACTTAGGCTGGGGATTTAGCTCAGTGGTTCTGCTGCCTGCCTTGTAAGCGCAAGGTCCCGAGTTCAATCCCCGGTACCAAAACAAACAAACAAACAAAAGATAAACTTTATACTCATACCGCAGTGATAATGAGGAATAAAAAGATTATATTGAGTGTATTGTGTGCCTTATGTTATTTTATAAATCAGTTTTTAAATTAATAAGCCTAATAAGTGGAAAAATATAGTATGGACTCATAGGCTAGAGTTTTTTTTGTTTTGATTTTCTGAGACAGTCTCACTGTGCAGTCCACACTGGCCTTAAACTCATTTTGTAGCCCAGGCTGGCCTCAAACTCATGGTGATCCTCCTGCCTCAGCCATACAGGTGCTGGCATTACCAGCATGAACCACCATACCCAGCTATAAGCTACAGCTTTAAGACAGGTTACAAGTAAAAGTGTAAGAGGGCCAGGGATGTAGCTCAGTAGCATATGCCTGCCTGGCAAGCACAGGCCCTGAATTTGATTTCCTGCGTGGGGGGGGGGGGTAAGGGGTGGAGGGAGTAAAAGTATAAAAAAATTAACCTTAATAAATTTTTGAAAGCAAATTTAAACTCTTTGTTTTATGAATTACAAGAGAACTAGTCCATGGTGGTATTCATATAATTGCTTTGTAGGAAGTTTTAAAAGTTTTTAGGTGGTCCTTTGGTTCAGGCCCCATTGATAAAATTGATGATTTATTAAAGAATTGTGTTTTCTTATATTTAGATAATAATTTAAGTTAGGTTTTATTAAACATACCAGTAATCCCACAGTATCTTTTATTCTTTGTTCGAAGTTTAACATTTCAATATTTACCTATACTTTTTAGATTGTTCCTTGTCAGTACCTCTTACAACCTGTGAAGCATGAAGATAGACAAATCTATACCCAGCATTTAAAATCCCTGGCTTTTTCGGCTTTTACCCAGTGTCGGAGACCACTTCCAACATCAACCAATGTGAAAACATTGACAGGCTTTGGTCCAGGTTTAGCCATGGAAACTGCTCTTAAAAGTCCTGATGTAAGTATGTTTTCCATGATCAAAGTTAATGAATGACTATAAATTTTGTGCAAAATTAGGTGCAATTTTTTTATTTTTGCATTTTCCAATCAGAATTGGGTAAATACTATATATTTTTTAAGGATTGCTTAGTACTGTAGTACCTTAATTTTTTATTTTACAGAGACCAGAGTGTATTCGACTTTATACACCCCCATTTATTCTGGCTCCAGTGAAGGACAAACAGACAGAGCTAGGAGAAACATTTGGAGAAGCTGGACAGAAATACAATGTTCTTTTCGTGGGCTACTGTTTATCACATGATCAGAGGTGGATTCTTGCATCTTGCACAGATCTATATGGAGAACTTTTAGAAACTTGTATCATAAACATCGATGTTCCAAATAGGTACTTATAATTCCCTAACTATATGATTATATCATCCCATTGAAAAATTTAACACAAACACACAAGATGTTTAATTTTTAATGAGTAAAAAACTGGGTTATATTCATTAAGATATTAAAACTTAGAATTTAGGATACTTTTCACTCTTTTGCAGTGAATATTTATATTTTATAATTAATTAAAACAATTTTGATAATTAACCTATTTACACAAAGATTAAAGTTCCTAACTTTTCTGTCATAAATCTTGAGGTAATGATTTTTGCTGAAATTTTTGAGGCGGGCGGTGGCACCACTGAGCTAAATCCCCAGCCCTTTGCTGAAATTTTTGAACAAAGAACTAGAAAGTCCTTCTGCAATTAAAAAAGTCTAAAATATGTATAGAATGCTTAAACTTTCCTCATGTACCCTTTGAGATACAAACCATAATTGACTGATTTAACTTTCTCTTCTAAAATTGTTGACTGAAAATTTTAATCATTTAAATTTTAGGATATCTTCTGAAAATGGTTGTGGTCTTTTTAGAATTCTCCTTGGCAGTAATTAGATAAAATGGTCAGTTATTATGAAAGATGTAACTAATAGGTCACAGCAGGTGAGCCTCATGTTATCACTTAAATGTTTCTAGTAGCATTATTTCAAGGCTAGTGAACATTGCTCATGAGAACTTGAAAAGCGGATCTGTGCAGTGTTTGTTTTAAGATTTGGAGTCTATGCTTTATTTTCTTTGGAGTCTATCCTTTATTTTCTTTATTAAGAAATGATTTTTAAGTTCAAAAATTGGCCATATGGAAAAATACTTAATGGTTATTAAAGTTTAGCATTGCTGGCAAAGCAGAATACTGGTTTGTTTTTTTGTGATGGTGGTACTGGGTGTTGAATCTAGGCACTTTGCACTAAACTATATCCCCAGTCCTTTGTATTTTTTTGAGATAAGTTCTTGCTAAGTTGCCCACCTTGCCTCAAACTTAGTGGTCCTCTTGCCTCGGCTTCCCAAGTAGTTGGAATTATAAGTGTGTGGCAACATGCCTGACTTAGGAATATTAATTTCATATTGTTGTTTGTCTGTAAACCTTACAGCAGTGCTTCTTTATCCCATGATATAATTTTATTTCTTAGGATATTTGTGCTAATTAAGTGACATTTGGGAAGAATATACTTATGTGTAACCACCCCTGCCTCACAAGTGCAAGGTCCTGAGTTCAATTCCCGGTACCAACAAAAAACAAAAAAACTTTACTTCCCAAACTTTTGATTTTATGTATATTCTTACTTTACACCTTCTTGTAAAGGTGTAAAACATTAAAATTAAGTAACCAGAGGCTGCAGGTGTGGAACACACTTGCCTAGTGTGCACAAGGCCCTTGATTCAATCCTCAGTACTGTCCCCCTCCATAAAGTTATCTCATGAATTTTAGAAATATTTATGGCTGCCTCTTCATTTCGTTCAATAGGGCTCGTCGGAAAAAAGGTTCTGCTAGAAGATTTGGTCTACAGAAACTTTGGGAGTGGTGCTTAGGACTTGTACAAATGAGTTCATTACCATGGAGAGTTGTAATTGGTCGTCTGGGAAGGATTGGTCATGGAGAATTGAAAGGTAAAATTATATTTTATTATGCAGTTTTAAAATTTGTTTTATATTCACATAGTGTTCAGACCACATGTAAGTGTATGTGCTGAGTAAAATGCAAAGGTTATTAGTAAACTTGTTTTTTATTTTTATTTTTTGTTTTTGTTTTTTTCTCATGGTGCTGGGGATTGAGCCTGGCACCTCTTGGATGCTTGGCAAGCACTATAACACAGGCACACCCCAAACCCACAACTTTTGGGTGAGGGAGTACTGGGATTGAACCCAGAGCCTCCACACTGAGCTACATTGCTAGCCATGCTTTTTTCACACTTTGAGACAGGGTCTCACTAAATCACTTTAGTTACATAGGAAAGTTGCACTTGAGCTTGCCATCCTCTTCCCACAGCCTATAAATACATCCCAAGATAAACTTTTGTTTTTAAAGTGGAACCACATAGGTATAGTTAATAGCTATTCTTATTTGTTGTCTTTCACTTTTTTCTCCTTTCTACTTGTTCTTCACCTTATCCGCTGTTCAGTAGATGGTAATTGAATGTGGTTTTCACCAGAGTTAGAGGGATAAAGGATATTAGCATCAACAGTAGGATTTTTGACTTGATGACTCCTTTGAGGAAAACACTAATTTTTAAATCATTAAATATTTCTTTTATGTTCCAATCTTGGTTCTATAGCATAGTTCAGTGCTTTACTTTTTTTTTTTTTTTAACTGTTGATACCCACAGACTGGAGCTGTTTGCTGAGTCGTCGAAACTTGCAGTCTCTAAGTAAAAGGCTCAAAGACATGTGTAGAATGTGTGGTATATCTGCTGCAGACTCTCCCAGCATTCTGAGTGCTTGTTTAGTAGCAATGGAACCCCAAGGCTCTTTTGTTATTATGCCAGGTTAGCCAACTTTAGTTTATATCAAAATTAATTCATGCACTTAATTTTTAAAGTATTACATTAAATTTATTCATTTATTTAAAGAAAAATGTCTTTTATTCTCTTTGTAGATTCGGTATCAACAGGTTCTGTATTTGGAAGAAGCACCACTCTAAATATGCAGACATCTCAGCTAAATACCCCACAGGATACATCATGTACTCATATACTTGTGTTCCCTACTTCTGCTTCTGTACAAGTAGCTTCAGCTACTTACACCACTGAAAATTTAGATTTGGCTTTCAATCCTAACAATGGTAGGTGAATTGTTCTTAAGAGGTTTTTTTGAGGGGGCAGGTTGTGGTGGTAGTGTGTTTTTTGGAGATGGCAACTTCCTGTGTTCCCCAAGTTGGCCTTGAACTCCTGAGCACATGTTCTTCCTGCCTCAACTCCCCAAAATATCTGAGACTATAGGTGTGACCTACTGTGCACAGGCGAAAAAGGTTTTTAAATATAGTATTTACGCAGAAGAAGAGAAGGCTATGTGACGGAAGCAGAAGAGTGCAAAGTCGAAGGAAGAAGATTTTATGTTCCCAACTTTGAAGATTGAGGACGGGGCCATGAGCCAGTGCCTATAATTCTAGGTACTAGAAAACACAAAGAAGCTGATTTTTCCGTAGATCCTCTAGAGAGGGAGTGCAGCCCTGGTGGAGCTAATTTAAGACTTATTACCCCTAAACTAATAAATGTTTGTTGCCTTACACCAGCAATGTATGGTAATTTAAATTAAGTCATTTCAGACCTTTCTTTTAGCATATAGATATCAGAATTGATGATATGGAATGTCCTGTAAATCTAATTTTAAAAGGTAATAATTGATCATAAAGTGTTTATACATGTTTATGCTTTGGCTTTTGAGGTACCTATATTAAGCTTTATTATTCATTTTATATCTTTATGTCTTGATTTGCCGAAATGGTATTTTATATAAACTGCCAGAATAAGGACATAGCTTTTGGTGAACCTTGGAGGTTTTATTTAGTAGAAAAGAAAATAAATAATACTTTATTCTTATTTTGAACTATCTTAGAAAATGTCAGATCTTCAAAATCACAGATATACGTATTATTTTAGTATCTTGTGTTATAACTTGAATATTTTACTTGATAAAGAACAGGGTATTGTGAATAGTCCCATTTTAAGTACATTTTCATTTCCTACATACTGTATTTGCTTTGTATTAGCAATTTGTTGCTATAACAAATTACGTATTTATTGGCTTAAAAGATAATCCATTTGTTATCTTAAAAGTTGTAGAGGTGTCCAAAATCAGCCTCATTGGGTTAAAAGTCAGGGTGTCAGTAGGATTCTTTCAAAAAGAAAAAGAGAACTCCTGTGATTACAGGATTTATTTGCTTAATCTAGAATAATTTCCTCATCTGAAGATTGTTATCTTGGTCACATCTACAAAATCCTTTTTGGTAACATGTCCATAAATTCCTGGGATTGGAACGTGGACGTCTTTTGGGAGCCATTATTCAAACTACTATATGTTTGTTTATGCATTATTTATATGGCTGTTAGCACAATACTTGACACATGATAGACTCTCAGGAAATGTTGGTTAAATTCACCTATTTTGAGGCCGGGGATTTAGCTCAGTGATTCCACCGCCTGCCTCGCAAGCACAAGGACCCCAGTTCGATCCCCTGTGTGTAAAAAAAAAAAAAAAAAAAAATTAACCTATTTTGGTTAACATTTGTTTTAACCTTTTATTGTGAATAACCATAAGATATGGAAAATGGAGTAATTAATTTCTTTTCTTTGTCCTGTATAGATGGAGCAGATGGAATGGGTATCTTTGACTTATTAGACACACCAGATGATCTTGATCCTGATATCATTAATATCCTTCCTGCATCTCCAACTGCATCTCCTGTACATTCTCCAGGATCTCATTACCCCCATGGAGGTGATACTGGCAAGGTAATCCTATTACAGAAATTCAGTTTATCTAAATATCATTCATTCCTGTTGTAAGGGATTAATAGGTAAATTCAACACTTTTTTCGTTGAGGATGAGATTTATACACTTCTGCCCCTTAGACATGAATACATTAATGTATACATTTTATAGAGAGTTTCTAAGGCTCTGCTTTCTCTGAATTTATATTTTCTATACTACTTGGCATAAGCCACTTCGTCATAGCTTCAGTTATAACATCACCACACCATTGAAAATCAATATCTTGGGCCAGGGATTTAGCTCAGTGGTGCTGCGTGCCTAGCAAGCACAGGATCCTGAATTCAATTCCCATATCAGAAAAAGAAAAGAAAATCAGCATCTGTCTAAAAGATAGTGTTCATATCAGGGCTATGACAAGAAATATAATAGAAATACTAATTTTCTCATAAGAACAAATAAAATAATGACCACCATCATGCTCTTCCTTTTTATTTTTAGCAGTTATGAAAGTAGGCTGTATTGTACTTTTGTTTGAAGTCAGTAACTGCGCTTCATTGAATGTTAATAACACATCTTTATTTTTGTGAAACCGTACATTTTAAAAATTATTTTAGTATGCATATGTTTAGAATTTACCTTTTTTTTGATTTTTGGTTTTTTTAGAATTTACCTTTTTAAAGTAAGGAAGAATCTTTCTCCATTTTTACCTTGTATACCTTCCTTTTTTTAACTGTAAGAAATGCAATTATTGAAATGCTTGTGCACATTATTAGTGCATAAAAGCACCAATAATCCCACCACCTTAATAAGTTTTTACTTTTTGCAAATTACTTTCTTTCCATATATCTATTATTATCTATATTCAAGTTTCAATAAGTATAATTAACTTCTTAATATTTTATTATTGATATGCCATCACTTGCTGTTCCCAAAAGTTTGCATTCCCAAAAGGTTGGAGATTAAAGAATTTTTTCTGTTATATAGATACCAATGTAATGAATATTTTCATGCATATTATTTCTCTTATATTTTATTAAAGTAAATACCAAGAAATACACGTTTAGTAGTCTTTTCGTGTTGGCATGATGCTTTCCAGAACACTATGTATTAACTACATTTTATAGATCATGCTAGATGAATAAAGCTAAATAAAATCAACCTTTTAGAATGAAGTGTGATTGTCAGGATTTAGTTGAGGTACTATTAGGAAATAAGTTGAAATTTCATTGAACATTTTGTATTTTTCACTTAAAGTTGAAGCCCTGCATATACACATGCACTCTGGGTTTTGCATAATAATACTAACTTGCTAAACAGTGAGTATATTCATTTATACAACTTCCGTGGCTTTGCTTTTTTTCATGGTTTGTTTGTTGAGGCAGGGTCTTACTAGGTAAGACTGGTCTCAAACTTGGCATCCTCTTGCCTCAGCCTTCCAACTGCTAGGATTACAGGCATGCGCCACTAGTCTCAGTTTAAAGCTGGTTCTTTTTAATATTATTACCAATTAGGATACTTTTAAGAGTATAGCTGTTGAGTTTAATATTCAGTATTTTTTAATAGATGTCATAAGTTCAGACTCATTGCCATAAGCCCTTTTATATTTATAACTGTTATCTATGTAGAATGAACTAATGCACTTTTAATTTTGTCTTTTTAAGGGTCAGAGTACTGATCGGCTACTTTCAACAGAGTCTCATGATGAAGTAACTAATATTCTCCAGCAGCCATTGGCCCTTGGATACTTTGTATCAACTGCCAAAGCGGGTCCATTACCTGACTGGTTCTGGTCAGCGTGTCCTCAAGCACAATATCAGTGTCCCCTTTTTCTTAAGGTAGCCATTTCTGTGCCTATTCCTAACTAATACAATTTGAGAACTTGATTCTTGGGAAATACAGAAATAGCTTGTCTAAGTTCTAAATTCTGAGGTGCAGTGCCACACATGACTTTAGCTATCACAAAGAAAATTACCTAGTTATGAAACAACTGTGACTTTTAAATAATTTATATTAAATTTGAACTTTATTCTTAAATCAGACTACTGAAACTCTTGTTTTTAATAATAATTTCAACTGCACATATGAAAGTTTAGAGCTTCAAGAAGCCTTGACTTTCTAACCTCCTCATTTTCTAGGTGAGCATATTTAAGTTCAGAAAACCTCACCTGAGCAGTCATAAATTGATAAGAGACTGAAGACTAAAACCTAGATCTGTGATTACAATGTTACTCTTTTAATTACATCATGCTATACTTGAAAGATTCACAATCTTTGTAATACTTGATTTTAAATTTAATTTACTCTGTCCTTACGAATACTTTCTAGCTTTGTGTATATTGCTGTTTTAAAACTATTGCGTGGTTGGGGCCAGAGATTTAGCTCAGTGGCACCTCGCCTGCCTTGCAAGCACGTGGTTCTGAGTTCGATCCCCGGTACCAGAAAAACAAAAAAACTATTGCATAGTTTTTAAGTAATGAGATTCTCAGACTCATGGTAATTTATTTTATCAAAACACTAAAGGCTTGGGCTGGGGATTTAGCTCAGTGGTTCCGCCACCTGCCACGTAAGCTCAGGTACCTGAGTTCGATCTCCAGTACCAAAAACAAAAACACTAAAGGCTCTGAAAAATAGCAGTCAGTAACATTGTTTACCTAACATTTCCCACATTTATTTTAATACACATTATACATGTAAGAAAAGGATTGTGTAACACCTATTTATAGCTTAAGACCTTAGTGTTTCAGGGCACATTTTTTAGAAAACACTACTTTACAAAAAGTCCAAGGGACTATCCAGATTCTTTTCTACTCAATATTTATTTGCAGAGAGGATAGTGTAAAGTGTGCATTCACCCTCAGATACAGTGTAACAAGATTAGGACTTCTGATTCTGAATTTCCAGGTAAGGCATAATTTACCATAATTTTGTTCACCTTTTCTTTATACATCCCATTATCATTGTATACTGTAGGAAATAAAACTGCTTGGTATATTTCTCTTTGCTTGGAAAAATAGTGGGTTGTTACCTAGACTGTTAAAAATCATTTTATCATAAAGATTAGAGCATTGATACTAATAAGCATTCATTTAATTTGTAGTGATCTGCCATGTGAGACTTGTTTACAAGACTTGATAAAATAGTTCAAATATACACATCTTTGGTTACATTCCTGAATATACTACACAAAAGTTTAAGAATATCTTTTACAGTAAACAGAATGAGATTACCAAAAATGATTACTACCACTCTGTTATAGTTTTTTAACACTATTATATATATTGACATAAACAAAATGATTCACTTTAACTAAAAGTGAAGAATAGTAGTACATTCCTTTCTCCCACTGGTCACTTCCATATTTATTTAAATGAGTGTGGTAGTTACTTATAATCCTATTATGAAATTTATTGGGCAAAGAAGGCATCTGTGCATTGTATTATTATTAGCAATTCAACCAAAGGCAGCTGTTTATAGTGGTGATGGCAAACTTCTTAGAGCTTTCAGTGATAAACAGCCTGCTGCAGCATGCATGCCATAGGTTTGCCACCACTGGTTTATACATAGTTTTGTAAGTAAAATGTTTGCATGTGCTTACTTCTGTTTAGTGTTTAGACCCAAGTATGTCTGCCTGATTAAGCTCTGTGTAACCTAGGGACAGATTGTACTCAAGTTTCAGTTTACTGCTCCTTAAACATTTTACTTTATACATTTAGGCAAATTAGACTTAGAAAATAATTGGAAATCCTTTTTAAGGATTATTATGAAGTCTGAAAAATTATAGCTGAAGAAAAGGAAATAGGAAGATTCAGTGTAAGTTTTACATTTAAAAATGAATGAATTAAGCAAGGAGAAAAACATTATAGTGGCTCCCATTCATAACACAGTTCTAAAAAAATGAATTTCTTTGAGGAAGGAAGATACATGGTAGGTTGAGAAAATAACTAAATAGTACAGTAGCCAAATTTGTCCCATGTGGTTGACTGATTACCTGTTAACTTTTTAGGCCTCTTTGCACCTCCACGTGCCTTCAGTGCAATCTGACGAGCTGCTTCACAGTAAACACTCCCACCCACTTGACTCGAATCAGACTTCCGATGTCCTCAGGTACAGCTCTTCACCATTGTGCTCTCCATTGCAACTGAAAAGATAAAATGTTCTTACATATTTTTGATAAGTTTATGTTTGTACGTCCTTGAATCTCTAGATGAGTTAATTATTCAGAGTAAGTTTTTTTCTAACATGAGTAATCTACTTTTAAGTGTTTTGTTTTGTTTTTTAAAATGCTGATGATAAAACCCAAGGCCTCACATATGCCAGGCAAATAAATGCTTTATTGCTGAGCTACACTTTCAAAGGCCTGAGAATAATTTTTATGAAATTAGTTATATTTCCCCCAAGGACTCTCCATTCTCTATCTTCCACTCTTTTTAAAGGTGACTTTGAATCTTAAATTAACCATAATTGAAAAGTACTTTCAGAATCTACACTGGAAATAGGTACATGGCTTATAAAGTTTATTTGCTTTTCAGGTTTGTTTTGGAACAGTACAATGCACTCTCCTGGCTAACCTGTGACCCTGCAATCCAGGACAGACGCTCATGTCTCCCAATTCATTTTGTGGTGCTGAATCAGTTATATAACTTTATCATGAATATGCTGTGATCTTTATTTGTCGGAACTGTGCAAGAAAAGAATGAGGAAGAAAGAATATTTTGCTGCAGGATTACGTTACAATTATCTTCTCAGTGAAAGTCATTTGTGATGGGGTCTAATTCTTATTACTTCAACAAATATTGTTTTGACTTGGGGGAGGGGCTATAACCCTATTTTTCATTGACTGTATTGAACCTTAGGATGATGACTGATCATACAAAACGTATTATAACATTTTCGTAGCAAAAATTAACTTTTTTTTTCCAGTCACAGTATTTGTGAAGAGTAATGAGCCATAGTACCCAGTCATGTTAAATGAATATTAAAAGCATGGAGAGGAAACATGAGGAACAATGAATACCAACACATGGCTTTAGAACATCAAGGTGTTCTTGTATTGGATTATAGTATCTAGTATTCAAAAATGCCTGCATCTCTTATTTATTGTAAGTTTTTAATGTATAAATTGTCTTATATTTCTTAACCTCTTTTATAAAAATTTTCCTAGAAGGTTTATATTGCCTTCTTGCTTTAAAGCAATTGGTCTAAAATATATGTAATCGTCTTAATTAAAAAGTTGCAGTAGGGTTGCTTTTAGAGTATTATTTTTTTGTAAGGGGGTGGGTGGGACAGTAAATTTGTATTGTCTCAATGTACAGTTTAATGGGGATAGAAGGGGAATAATGTCCATACCATTGTGTGTGGAGGATTTACAGCTAAGCTGTAGTTGCAGAGTACATGTACAGTAATGAAGTTCACTGTGTTTATAAAATGAAAAGGTACCGGGTCTTACAGCATTTTATATATCACATCTTTACAAAATAACATGATGGCAATATACAAGTGATATTGTTAGGTGGTTTAACTTAGAATAAATTGAAAATTCTTCAGTTATATTTTGTACTATGGTTTAGGGCTATGACTAATATTTCAGGCCATTTCCAGTGAAAGAAACTTAGTTTTACAAGAAAAACATTTGCTACTGAATGCTTAAACTAATTTTGGTGTTTAATGTTACATGTTTAAATTTTTTTGAGTTTTAACAGTGGCACATTTAGGCATGGGAATATTATTATGAAATTTATCTGCAGGATCTGCTATACGGTTGAAATTTAGCCCAGCTCTAGACATTTTACAAATTAAGAGCGGTCACTCTTGATTGTTTGCTTTTTTTTTTTTTTTTTAAATTAAGGATTGGGAATGTGTGTGAGAGTATGCATATGTATGAGTGTGTGTGTGCAATCAAACTGTGGTGTAAATAGATTCTCAGTGAATCCTGGTATTCAGACTCTATTCCACTAGTGAAAAAACCATTTTCTAAACTTAAACCTGTTTCCCTTTGTCTTTTTATTTATTTAATTTTCTTGGTTTGGAGATGGCAGTCCCAAACACCAGAGTCTGTACTTTTTTTATAACACAGCTCAAATTAAGGTAGGGCATATGCCAAGGAGGTTCTCACCTCCCTAAAGAAGGGACTTGAATTTTAGGGACTTTAATTCACCCCTTCCTTCAGTAAAACTTTCCCTCTTGTTTGCACATGCCAAGATAACTGCTTTTCTGCAGGCTTTACCCCCTTAAAAAATCCTTTCTACAGTGCTGCTCACAAGAGAGCCCAAGTTAGCCTTTGACTTGCATTGCTGACTTGAATTCACAGTCACCAAGTCTACCTATCTTTCTTAGAAGCAGTCTAGCAAAATTCCTATTTATATGTTCATTAGTTATCTACAAGGACAAAACCAGTTGTATTTACAAAACTTTAATTCAGCATTTTTTTTACTGAAGTTTGTTTTGTAAGTACTATATGCTTAACATAAATATCATTTTCTTATGAACAGTATAAATTGAAATTGTGTATATGAAAACATTAGAAAGTCTTTGTTTTTTCTATAAAGAAAAAATTGATGACAACAGTTTTCAGTCATTTATTCAAGAGTATAATGAAATCCCAGTGGTCAGTCAGCATATTTTGATATTAAATTCAGAGATCACACCTCTGCATTAATTTTTAAATTATACTAACAACCACAGATTATGTTGGCATGTTTTCTTCTATACTTTCTACCAAAAAAAAGCTTGTCTGAAATTTGAAGGAAATATGCATATTTGCAATTTCTATAAAAAGAATATTCTTTTTTATGTATTTTGCTCAATAGTGACTTTAAAAAACTAAAGTTATATTCTCAGCTGTTTAAAATCACTAACCTATGATAACCACACCTCAGTTTGAAAAAAGATTTTTAAAAATTATTCCCTGAGAGTTTCTTTTTTAAGGAGCCATAAGGAGGGAACCCAGTATGCAATTCCTTTTTTTAATCTGGGAATCAGGGAATAGTTCCTAAATATACAAAATTTACTGATACAATATTTTTTTCTTCCCTTCATGTACCAGTTCACACTCAAATAGAAAGTTTTTTTTGTTTTGTTTTGTTTTGTTTTTTTGGTACCGGAGATCGAACTCGGGTCCTTGCGCTTGCGCAGCAGGTGGCAAAACCACTGAGCTAAATCCCCGGCCCCTAATAGAAAGTTTTTAAATAGCCATTCGGACTTGTTTCAGAAAAAAGAAAAATCAAGCCTTTTGTGGAGGATGAAGAATCTGACTAATGTACTGTCACAGACAAGTATAAGTAGTTTTGTTTCATTTGAATAGGTAAGCAAAATATACTTTATACCAGTGAATTACCAACACCTTGACTTGGTTACAGTGCTCATGTCTGTTTTTTCTGAAGTTATCCATTATGAAGCAGGGTGGAAGTTCAGTATTTTGACATTTTAAAAGTTTAGTTATATAATGTCTGCTTCCAGCCAGTGAGAAACATCTAGCCATACCTTTCTTATGCAAGCCATTCAGTTATCAGGACTGTGAATTAACACTGTATGAATAAATTTCTGTACACCTTATCGTTTGGCCAGAAGGCCACCAAGTGTACTTATATGTAATCCTTAAATTTTAAAGTAGCTGTAATTTTTAAATATTTCTAAACTTTTCATAAACCACTAAAATTAAGCTCTTACTACTTAGTCAATTATCCTCAGCTGTATTCGTACTCAATTGTCAGTATGGCACAGATTACTGTATTAAAATACTCTCTTTTCGTCTTCATATTTACCTTCTGAGGTAATTTTTTAACTTAATGTGTTACTACAAAGATTTGCAGATCTTTAATCAAGCACTATGTTAATACTGTAATATCAAAATACTATGTTGCATTATTTAAAGTGTTCAAATTGAATAGTTTAAAAGGAAGTTTTTAAATGCTATATTGCATCATATAATTTGCTACTCATCCACTATGGCATTGCATATTAGTCTGTTAATACATTTAATGTTGCATGAGTGATATTTTGGTCTGGGTTTCCTCTTAAGATTTTAGTTTGCCTAAATTAAGGAAAAATGTTATTAACAATACTACATTTTTATTTTGTCCCCCCACCCCCAATCAGCTGGAAATCTTAACCTTTTGGATTTTCTTGGTGTTTTAATGGGCCCAGAACTGTGGTTTAATTTTTTATATATGTATTTTATTTTTTTGTGGAGTATAAATTTGAAAACTGGATTTGGGACCTAAAATACTCCTCAGGTTGACATATTCATTAAGTTTTAAAATAGCTTTAGTTTTCAAAGTAAACTGGATTTGTGGACCTTAAAGTTCCTGAGTTTAAACTACAAGTTGTAATGTCATCACTGGACACGTCAGCGTCACCCTCTCCGAACAGCGCAGTCACTTTATGAAGGGGCATCTTAAAGCTGCTGTTAGCAGTGACATTCAATATGGTCCAATTGCTTTTCTTTTTTAACACGACAAAAAAGAATAAGGAACAAACACTATTGCTGCCGAATGCCATAACACTGAGTTGTACAAATTGTGATTGAGGAAATGGAAAAGGTTTATACTTTTTAAAAAAAAAACAAAAAAAACAAAACTTCAAATGGAATAAATTATTCACGAAGCCTTTCTTGTGGTGTCTCATTCTGTTGAAATATTTTCATCTTCATTTTCTGTAAGAATCAGCAGCAATATTCATGTCGTTTATAGAAAGAAGGGTGTGCTTAGAAACTGATAAATACACTTTTGAGTGTTTTATTTTTAAAGAGGATTTTAATCACTAAGCAGTGTATAATATGTAGGATTTTTTTTCAACTTTCAGGCTGATCTAGTGTTAATTTTCTAGTCTAAACAAGGTACCTTCAAATACAACTTAGCTCTATCCTCTTTAATCATATACATGTGTTTGAAGCATAAGAAATATGTTCAGGTATGAATAATTCATCAAAAATAGTTCTGCTCAAGTCCTATAAACAGCTGCTTAAAATATTTTTGTCCAGACATTGCTAAATAAGAACATACCTCAGCATTATTCTAGTCATTTTGAAAGTTTGTCAGTAAATTGTCTTTTATTCTTTAAAAGATGATACATGACATTCAAATTTTGTATCTTAAATTATTTTACTTCACGAATTACTATATAATATGCAGTTCAAACTGACTAAAGATACCATGTTCGGGGATATGCCTGGAGTCCAAGATGGAGAGAAGTCAGATTATGAAAATGTGTCTTTTCAGTTTGACTCTAAGGAAATTGAATTTTATCCCAAAGCAGAGTTAGTACCTGGTTGACTCATAATTGGTTGAGCAACTATGTCCAGAGAGAGTTGATTGGAAGAGCTGTGTCAACCAGAGGCTATCTCTAATGCTAAACTATAGAACTTGAGCTGGACTCTAGTCTATTCAACATTTTATACATAACATTCAGGAAAATAATCTGCTTAGCCAAAGCTAAAGCAAAAACCTATGTAAAAGTTTTTTTAAAAAATCTTAATAGGCTTAAACAGTGGGAGATAAAATAAGTTCACTGGGCATTGCTGAACTGCCCTCAAGACAGACCTGCAGAGACAAAAAACGGAGTAGTGATCAGCAACATACGGCCTCTCCAGGACCTGGAATCATCTGCAAAAGAACAACTTGGTGAGAAAATAAAGAACTAGACCGCAGGAATTAGGAAGAAATTGACAGGGAAAACTAGACACTACAGAGAAGCTGGAGAAATGAAGCACAACAAAGAAAACAGCTCACTGCAGCTCTCGAGGAGAATCTGTCACCACAGAAACAAGGATCTTTTATGTCAATTTTCTCTCGCTCATCTCCCATTGCTTAATTTTTCAAATTTTACTTCTTTCATTCTCCCATTCCCCACCCCCTCTGTATTTACTAGTGTAAAATTGTTTTATTAAGCTTCAGATAGTTAACTGTGCTATTACTGTTGAATTCATTTTGTTAGTGGAGATATAGTTGTTACACTTAGTAGATATTTATTGTATGTCAATATTTGGTTTGCATACCTGTAATTGTGGTACTCAGGAGACTGAGGCAGGAAGATTACTGTGAGTTCAAAGCCAGCCTGGGCTACATACTAAGTTCAAGGCCACCCTGAACTAGAGTGAGGCTCTGTCTTTAAAATACATACATACATATATATATATATATAAAATTATTTTTAAAATTATATATATGTATTTTTGGTTTGTCTTAGTGTTTGTAGATCTCTTTTCTATGGTTAAAGGTGGTACACAGTTCTTTTGGTATGTGAATATCGAGCTGGTCTTTGGTGCTGTTATTGTTGCTGATTTTGTTGTTAGTGCCAGGGTGGCTTATTCGTTGTTATTAATTGGTTTTCTCTCTGTACCAGTATCTCAATTGCCTTTGTATCATTAACAATACTGTAGTCCATTCCTAGAGAACTGGGTGCTGGGTCAATTACACTGCATCCTCCTCTTCCAAATTAACAGAGGTGGTTGGATCTTGGAACAGAGGCAAAAGCTTGTAATTACCCATGCCCAGAGTGCATAATTGAAAAGCAGAAACTAAAGAGATCTCTATACTAGCAACAAAGTCTTTCCACTATTATCAGCCCGTAAACCTCAACCAAAAAGAAAGAATAAGACAAGGAAACAAAATGCCTCTTCAAACTCCCAACTCCCCTAAAGCTGACCTGTGGAGCATTGAGGGGAGAGGAAATCAAAAACTACACAACAGAATTATTTGAAAAAATATTTAAGAACAGGTGCTTGCCAAGCTCAAAGAAGATAAAACTAAACAGGGACTTAAAGTGGACAACTAGTTTTCGAGTTTTCAGTGGACAATAACAAAAAGCTAGCTGAGCTAAACAAAATGATACAAAACACTAGTGAACAATTTAGCAAAGAGTCCATGAAAAGGTACCAAATAGAAGTCCAGGAGATTAAAACTTCTGTTGAAAATGGGTAGCAGTGTGACTACCCATAGTGTGAGGACAAAGTGTCAGAACTAGAAGATAGAGCTGATGTTGCTGACCAGTTATTCAGAGATACTTTAAAAACAGGCGAATATGAAAAATGGATCTAACCACTGCTAGATGAGGTAAAGAAGAGTAGGATTCATTGGAATAAGTAAAAAATCACAGCACAAATGGTATAACAAAATCTGTTTACAAAAATAGCCAGATGTGGTGGCATGCACCTATAATCCCAGCATTTGGGAGGCTGAAGTTAGGATTGCCATGAATTCGAGGCCACCCTAGATTACATACCTGTCTCAAAAAATCAAGCAATAATGCCAGAAAACTTTCCAAATATGGGGAAAGAAGTAAACATAGATAAGTGAGCCATATAGAATTCCAAATAGCCACAGTCAAAAAATAACTTAAAATTATTTTTTGGGGTACCAGGATTGAACTCAGGACCGCTTGTGAGGCAGGTGTGGTGCCACTGATCTAAATCCCCCAGCTCCAGAAAATAACTTCTTTATGATACATCAGTCAAAATCCCAGGAGGTCAGCACAAGGACAGAATCTTAAAAGCTGTTAGAGAAAAGGAACAAATCACTTATAAAGGTAAACCCATTAGAATTACAACATATTTCTCAACACCTAATAGGCTAGGCAAGCCTGGAGTCAAGTGATTCAAGCCGTAAAAGAAATCACCTTGCAATCCAGACTGATAATATCCTACAAAGCTATCTCAAAATTAATGGAGAGGGCCGGGATTTAGCTCAGTGGCAGTGCATCTGCCTCATAAGCGCAAGGTCCTGAGATTGATCCCCAGCACTGAAAAAAAAAAAATTGATGGAGAAATAAGTTCTTTAAGGAATTCATGATCACCAAACGTAAGGATATCCTAGAAGGAAAGAATGATGCCAAGAATGCCTAAAGTCTAATAGAATAAATATACTAGGAAGAGTGAGCAGTTAAGCAAAATAGGAAGAAAGGAATCAACAGGAAAATAATGCAATTACCAGAATATATCAATACCTTTCAGTAATAACTTTTAAAAAATTTTTATTGGTACATTTTAGGTATACAATATAATGATATTCATCATTGGGAATTTGCACCTTTACATAATCTCTTGGTTCTTATTTTTTCCCCGTCCCCTGCCCTCCCTTCAACCCCTCCATCCCTCCCTCTTTATGAAGACTTTGTTTTAATTTTTTCATTTTCTCATATTCCTTTTCAGTAATAACTCAATGTGAATAGTCTTAATTCCCCAATCAGAAGACACAGATTGAGCAAGGTGTGGTGGTGCATGACTGTAATTCCAGCACTTGGGAGGTGGAAGCAGAATTGCCTCAAATTTGAGGCTGTAGTGAGTTCAAGGCCAGCCTGAATTACATAGTTGAGACACTGTGTCAAAAACAAAGACACAGACTGGCAGAATTGATCAAAAAGCAAAACCCAGTGAGTGCTGTGCTGTATATGAGAAACACATTTACTCCAAAAGGAAATTTATAGACTAAAATTCAAAAGATGAAAAACAATATTCCATGCAATGAGAACCTGAAAACAAGGGTAGCTATCATATTTTCAGACAAAGTGGACTTCAAGCTATAACTTACCAGAAGAGGCAAACAAGGTCAGTACATATTGGGTAAGGGAATAAACAAACAGGAAGAGATAATTATAAACATATATACACTGAAAACCAGTGCCCCACACTTTATAAAACACTACTGCACATAAAATATCAAACACAATATAGTGATGGACCTCAATACTCTGCTGTCACACATACATAGGTTAATTAGGCAAAACAGATATTAAAGGTGAGCCAAACCCTTGAACAAATGCACTTAAAGGATATCTACAGAGTGTTCCATCCAACAATAACAGAATACACATTCTTCTCAGCAGCACATGGAACTTTATCCAAAATAGACCACATATTAGCCCATACAACATGTTTAAGTAAATAAATTATCCCATGCATATTATCATATAGCATAATGAACCTAGAAATCAATGGCAAAATGAATCACAAAAGTTATGCAAACATAGAAATTGAGCAGTACTCTCTAGAATAATCAATGGGTCACAGAAGAAATCACAGAAAAAATTAATTCTGAGAGTCAAATGATAATGCCAGTACAACATACTGGAACCTATGAGACACAATGAAAACAGTCCTTAGAGGAAAGTTTATATCTTGAATGCCCACGTCAGAAAAACAGTGAGTCCAAATAAATGACCAAGTGATATACCTCAAGACCCTAGAAAAACAAGAACAATCCAAATCTATACAAAAATTAAAATGGATCAAAATCTAAATGTAGAAACAAAAACAATCTGCTGGAAAATAGGTAAAACTCTTGAAGACATGGGTACAGGCAAGAACTTCTTGAACAAAAAGTGCACAAAAAATAACATCAAGAATCAACAAACGGGATCACATCAAATAACTTCTGCGCAGCAAAGGAAGGAGTCAACAGAATGAAGAAAACCTACAGAATGGGAAAAACATTTTCAGGACAGATGACTAATGCATAGAATACATAAAAACTTTTTTTAAAAATAGACTTCCAAAATAAAACACCCAATCAAAAATGGGCACCTGAAATGAATAGACGCTTCTCAGAAAAAGAAGCACAGAAAAAGAAGTACAAATGCCCAATAAATACACGAAGCCAGAGGACAGAGTGGTGAGC